ACCTTCCACATTAAACAGATGTTCACCTGCACATCCGCTAATGTGGTATATTGTATCCGCTGTTCCCGTTGTGGCCTCCACTACTTCGGGGAAACCAAGCGAAGGCTTGGAGACCGCTTTGTGGAACACCTACACTCAGTTTGTGACAAACAATAACACCTCCCAGTCGCGAACCACTTCAACTCCCCCTCCCATTCCTTGGACGACATGTCCATCCTGGGCCTCCTCCAGTGCCACAATGACGCCACCCGAAGGTTGGAGGAACAGCACCTCACATTCCGCCTGGGAACCCTGCAGCGCAATGGTCTCAATGTGGACTTCACAAGCTTCAAAATCTCCCCACCCCCGACCTCATCCCAAGACCAGCCCATCTCATCCCCGCCTCCTTGACCTGTCCATCTTCCCTCCCATCTACCCGCCCCTCCCTCCTCACTGACTAACCCCCAATCCAACTCCCTACCTACACTTACCCTTACTGGCTTCATCCCCGCCTCCTTGACCTGTCTGTCCTCTCTCCACCTATCTGCTCCCCTATTCACCTTCTATCATCACCTCCCACTTAAGCCAGATGAGGAGTTGATTTAAAGCCTGTCCACCTCTGGCAGTTCAGGAGAGTAATTAATATAAAACACAAAAATAATTTGTTTCTTAGCTCAAATAGAGGGAATATTAATGCAAGTTAGATATCTAAAATATTCTTCAAAATTCTTTTTCATTCAATTAGCCAAAGAGAGTAGAAAGGAAAATTAAGACCCATCACATCACACTAGATGTTGTTCAACAAATTGGAAAATATGACTACTGATGCATTTACAGTCAACTTATTCTAGCATGCATGGCCATTAATGAGCTATTAAGTATGTAATCAAAATTAAGTACAGATTTTTCATAAATAAGATTATATAATGGCAACTAGAAAATACATCGAGTGTTAAACGGGTCCTTAATAAATGAATTTGCATTGAGTAGGTAGTTCTGAGAATAAGGCAAATTAGCTTCTTGAAAAATATTTGCAATGTGTATACAAAGAGATCATAAGCCTGAGCACACCATTTTTTTCCTTTTGCGCTAGTTATCTATGTCACCCACTTTGTTCATTCATGCACTTTTCCAAATGCAATGCTGCTTTGTAAATATCTTTGTAAATCTGTTATTACATTGTAGCTATATCCCATCTTCTTAGAGATGATGAGTGGTTCCGGCTGCACATCAACACAAATATGCCGTGAAGTCAGGTTCAGTGTAAATGTAGTTGAGTGAATCTCCAAGACACCTTCTGAATGTACCATTGAGTATCTTAAAATTATGAAGAAAATAACTCAGCCTCTCTCTCATTTATAACAGGAAATTTAAACCAGTACTGAAGACAAATGAAAATAACTATACTATTAATCATTTTAATTGACCCACATTAACAGAAGACTTATATTTCTGTAAATATTAAACGGTCCAGTAAGTACTTTTAAGGTGAAAGGTAATCTTAAAACAAATTATATATACTTAGCCTTATAGATTAAAATGTATGGCTAAGGTAAAGCATAGAAAAGAAGACACGTCAAAAATTGAATACCAAACAGTAACATCATCTGAACTCCATGGCTTTCTGTTACATCATAAAAGGACATATACTTTTAGCAGCCTCACTGTGATACTTATAATGCAGTTGCTTTCTTACTTATCAGAGAATGGTTACAACACACAAAGAAGCCATTCAATCAATAATGTCAATACTGCCTCTCTGAAGGATCAAATTCAACAAGTATCACGCACAGCCATTCATGCAACAACCTTCCACATTTTTTTCCATGTCAAATAACAATCCTATTCTCTCAATTGAACCTGTCCCCACCACACTTCGAGCAGTGCATTTCAAACATCTACTATTTGCTGCATGAAAAATCATTTCCTAATTATTATATCACTTCCAAAGGTTTGTTTTGTTGCTTTTTCTGTTACTGTGTTAATTCCAACATGTTTGGACAAATTGTCTTTGAGCCTATGTTTATTAATGTTAGCAAACAGCTGTACTGAGTATGAGAAATAAACAAGAAACATTGAAATAGTGTTGATCATATTTTGGATGCATCACAAAGAACATTAAACTCCAAATTGTAGAAGCCTTAATCATTTGGCAATATCACAAATTTTCTGCATTCACCTTCTCTAAATACTCAGTAAGAAAAGGATAATGTTCCTTTTTGATGTGGCTGCCAACATTTACTTTTAATCAGTTGTGTACTGCACCTTTATTAAAAAGGAATCTGTTTATTTTACAAAAGTATTGCAGCTTTTATTGATGCCTTTTGAGAAGTTAGGATAGTCTATCCAAACTGTGAGACTTGTACCAACAAGTAGATCCCAGAATGTAATGGATAGATTAATTACACTTGCACATGGTAATTCCGGGGAGGTTTGAATCATCTTCTAGCATCCTGTACCTATTCTATCAACACTTTTATGTCTATTTAGAGAAAAGGACCATGTTAATAGTACTTTTAGATATGAATATGTGATAAGCTATCCCAAAGGTTACAGAACTGTCATGATTAGTACTGAATCAATGAATGAAAATCCAAAGTAATTTTTCTCCGTTTTGCTATTTCTCATGTAAACACATTACTGCAGGACGTTTTCCAGGAAAGCCAAATAAAGGTACTCCAACATATTTAATAAAATTTGAAACAGAGGGGAAATGATAGACAATCTAAAATATATGGACGGATGCATCTATGTATGGAATAGATCTCAACATCAATGAGGACACTTAAATACCAACTGGAACAGACTTAATCTTAGACCAGAATGTAAAGGGCAATGCAGTATTTACAAGGTAGTGCCATCTAACATTTGCCGGAGGGACTGTTGTTTGAAAGCTGCGTTATTTTCCAACAATGAATTCTTCACTAACTTCAGCAGATATCAGCATCACCACAGGGAGAGTTGGACTAAAGAAATATATATAGCTATGTTGAAAAAGTAAAAATAGCACCGAGTCAAAACTCATTTATTTATGAATGAAGGTTGAGCATGATTATCGATTTAGAGAAATAATTGAAGCAGAAAGAGTTGCAAGGTTACGAGGAACGGGCAGAGATTGGGAAATCTATTTGGAGTTGGCAGATGTACCAATGCCGCGTTGCCGCCTTGCGTGCTCGCTTACAGCATTCTATAATGAGCCAGGATAGAAAAAAGTAATTAATCTTTCTTTTTCCAGCTCAATGAAACAAGTTTGTTATAGAGATGTAGATTTTTAAGTTCTGCATTATTAAACATCCGCTTGCATTTCTGGAAATAAATTCGTCTTCATCTTTTAATTTGTCACGTGAGCACAATTAAAAACTTTTCTTTGGATATTCCCACTTATGGATGGATTCGCTATTAATCGCAAAAAATAATTACTGCATTCCTTCAGGTAATTCAACACGTTAACATCATTTTGCAGGTGTCGGCACAATAAGTCGAATGGCCTGCACCGCACAAATTCTCTAATTCCATGATTAACACTTAGGTTTTAACTGTAAGGACATCTCAGTATCATTTAAAGCATTGAAATAAAAAGAATTGCGGATGCTGGAAGTCTGAAACAAAAACAGAATCTCCACATCATCAGCGATTCTGCTTGACCTGCTGAGTTTCTCCAGCAATTTCGATTTTTATTTCACTTCAAAACATCTCGGATATTCTTCGAGTCTCCCAAACACGCAATAAGATGCTACGGGGATTATCGTGGCTGGGCCTGATAGCATCAGCAAGTGTTGTATTTGTTTGTTGCACATAAATCATTTCAGTCTGGGATCAGTGGGTTCCTGCAAGTGATTGATCTCGCTATTCCAAGTGAAATCAACATGCATGGGGTTCCGGACATAATATTGACACATTAAATGAACCGTTGGATTTCAGCCTCTTCCCTCTTGTGTAATTACAACCCTGACTGAAATGTTCTGCAGTGAAAAGATCGATCCCACTAAACGAGTCATTTCATAGGCAATAGAGTCTGTTTCGCCATGCAACGACGTTTTACACCTTGACTGTTGTGAAATCCAGTCGAATGTGATCCCTTGTTAAAATTGATCTCTTCACGAGAGAATGTAAGATCAATGTCACAGTTATAAAACAGTGGAGGAAGAGTGACTAAGAAGACAAAAAAGAACAAAACAGTTTCAACTTTTCGCTCTAATTATCAGAGCGAAAAACCAGTAAAACTGGACACGGTCATGTACCAGTAAAAAAAAACTGAACGAACTGTGGATGCTGAAAATCAGAAACAAAGGAAGATCACTGGACCCGAAACATTAACACTGTTTCTCTCTCCATAGATGCTGCCAGACCTGCTGAGTTTCTCCAGCAATTTCTCTTCATGCACCTGTAAAACCCTGTCGGAACTAGAGAGAGACGGGACTCCAGGAGCACTGGGACCAGTATGGAATTGTAAAATAAAACTGTCTTGAACTATTTTATTCCTTCACCATAAGCTAAAAAATACATTCCGTGTGAAGTTTAGAATAGATTGTCTACTCTAAAAAATGGAAAACATCTGTATTACACTGTCTGAAAGGTTTTTGTAGAAGAGGATTAAATTGTCACTTCGGAAGCGAATTAGAGGAGTGCAGGGCAAAAGGGAAAGAACGGAGCAGTGGGACGAACTGGGTGGTTCATTCAAAGAGCCAAAACAGGTGCAATGGGCCGAACGGTCTCCCCTGACGCTATCAGCAGCATCTTGTCGGAGCTGGATCCCCAAGTGAGCAGCTGACCTACCAAACAGATTTCGATCTTTTGTCTGTTCGCTGTTTAGAAAATAATGTGTAATGTGTGTCTGACGGGATGCTGTCTGAGGGCCAACTCACCCCATCAAGGAGACTCTATTCTAATATCAAACACTTAACTCAAACAGAAGCTAACAATTGGGTGCATCCTTTTGATTGAGCGGAACACGTTAAAAAAAAAAATCAAGAGACTAACATTTCACACAGGGTATCGAAGATATGAGCTATCTCACTCACCGGCGTTCCTCAATTTCTTATTCCTGTAAACTGACAAGATGACGAGTAGGTTCCCCAGGATATCGATCACGATGGTAAATATGAGCAGTCCTGCCAGGGTCGTTGCCACCCAGGGTGGCCGATCCACAATGAACGGCCCGGGTACCAGAATGGAACTGTTTAAACAGCTCACATTCGTGTTCATTTTCCTTAGCTTTGACTTTGCGCCGTAAATGTAAATTCTAAGGAGGGATATAGTGAACCATTCGCTCCCAAGCCAGTGCAGTAGCTCTGGTCACTAATGATGAAATTGACCAAGGCAATCTACATCTGGATCCGTCATGTTTAAAGTTTTATTTAGGGGCGATAAACAAAACCAGCCATCTAACTTTTCTGAAGCTGCTAATCTACCGGAGGTAGGACTTTTATATCTCTCAGTTTCTCGCTCACATTGCCAGTTTGTGGCTCTTCAGCGTTCACGGCCCTTCTCCCATCATGTGACGGCGGTTTGCACTGAGCCATGTAAGAACACCGCCCCTGTGTGGCGATGAGAAGGAGCTTTCATTCATCACCACGTTGCACCATTCAAACAGAGCATAATCTCGCTGTCTGTCCCCTTTCAATTCATTCGACAGTCCTTTCATTCATTCATCAATTAACTTCATTGCAAGCATTCGTACGTGTGCGGTTCATCCATCGCTGCTCCTAACGTATCCATTAATTTCTGTCTATTCCTTTACCTAACTACTTGATCTTTCCATTCAAATATTCGTTGTTTTCCAGACTACATTGTTAGTTTTATAATTTGTGAAGCTCCCAACTATATCTAATTAGAAAATAAATACAAAAAAAAATCACATATTCTCCGTCTGGGAAATATTCTATCAGAGCTCCTAATACTTGTATGATCAACAGCCACTGGGGATGTGCCCTAAGCTTGGAGGGTGGCTAATGTTGTGCCATTATTTAAGAAAGGCTGCAGGGAAATGCCTGGGAACTACAGAACCTGTGACCGATTCTGAGAGAAGGGATGGACAGGCATTTGGAGAGGCAAAGACTCATTTGGGATAGTCAGCATGGTTTTGTGCATAGGAAATAATTTCTTACCAATTTGATTGAGTTTTTTGAAGGGGTGACTAAGAAAGTAGATGAGGGTAGAGCAGTAGTAGTGTTTAGCAAGGCTTTTGGCAAGGTACCACATGCTGGGTTGTTGAGTAAGGTTAAATCTCACATGATCCAAGGAGAACTGGCTAATTGGATACAAAATCTGCTTGAAAGTAGAAGACAGAGGTGGTGGTAGAGATAGATAGAGGCCTGTGTTGGGTCCACTATTATTTGTAATTTATATAACTAATTTGGATGAGAATTTAGGAGGTATGAATAGTATGTTTGCAGATGACACCATGATTGGTGATATAACGGACAATGAAGGTTATCTGCAAATACAGCGAGATCTTGATCAAGTGGGCCAGTAGGCTAAGAAATGGCAGATGGAAGTTAATTTAGATAAATGTTGCATTTTGGTAAGCCAAACTAGGGCAGGACTTACACAGTCAATGTTAGAGCCCTGGGGAGTGTTATAGACAAGAGGTCAAGGGGTACAGGTTCATAGTTACTTGGAAGCAATATTTTTGTGCACCTTCCAACTTAATAAATTGTATTTGCTGCTCACAATAAATCTCCACAGTGAGATGACTAAATGCAGGCTGAGTGATTACTTTGCAGAACAACTCCATTCAGTCCGCAAGTGTAACCCTGTATTTCCTAATATTTTAATTCTTCTCTGCATTATCATTGTGATTTCTTTGGCCTTAGCCTCCTACATTGTTCCAAAAAATCTGACTGGAGCTTCATCTTCCAGCTAGGCAATCTACAGCCTTCTAGAATTAGCAGTGAGTTGAACCATTTCAATCTAAGCTCTTTGAGACGCTTCCATCAAACAGCAGCTATTGGTTATATCTATGCCATTGTCATTTCAACTCCTCTAGATAACAATTTTTGTTTCTTTACTTGTCCTGCCACTATCAATTTTGCTTCATAACTTAATTACCTTTGTGATTTAATCACTCCTATTCCACTCTTCCCTATTGTTCTTAGCTCCAAATTCCTCCACCCACTGCCTAACCTAACATTTCCTGTCTCTGGATCTGCTTAAGGCCAGTCACATGTCCAACTTTTTCTGGTTCTGATGAAAGGTCATTGACCAGAATCATTAATTATGTGATTCTTTCCACAGATGTTGCCTGACTGAGTGAGTGTATGCTGTTTTCATGAATACATGGCATCATTTCGATATTATTGCATGGGAAACGTTTTGCGGGATTGTTTGGTGCTGCTCGTAGCATGACTCAAAGGATTAAAAGGCCAGATCGAGTGATAAGTTATCCATTTTCTATAATGGCCTATGTACAGTAATCCTGAGTTTCTTCTGATCTGCAGATGCAAGTAGAATGTGGGAACAAACGGGTTATTGTCGCTTAAAGAAAGTTGTGGTATTTTCGGAGTAAGTGAGGCATGAGGACAATAAACCAAGGGAAAGAATTGAGAAGTGCAGAATGTTTTCAGAAGTATCTCCTTGTTTCCAACAGGCCTTTTCCCACGTTCCAAGTCAGGGCCTACCCCTGGTGAAACATAAAAAATTCTAACACAAGTGGACAGATAGTAGGAACTGCAGATGCTGGAGAATCTGAGACAACAAGGTGCAGAGCTGGATGAACACAGCAGGCCAAGCAGCATCATAGGCCTGCTGTGTTCATCCAGCTCTGCACCTTGTTGTCTCAGGACTGAGATGAGGATTTTGTTTTTACTCAAAGGGTAATAAACCTGTGAAATTCTCTATCACAGAAAGCTGTGAAGGCCAATTCACGTGTAGTCCAGTTTTGGTAATTTTCTACTTGCCATCCATCATGTATCCCTTTCATTCTCCTCTCTCTTTGAACATCCTGTACCTTGGAATAGTTAAACAATTGGTCGCTGGGCAAGGCCATTCAAATTTGCCTTCTAAATACAAGTTGTGTTGGGAATGGTAATCCCTTTTCCACATTTGATGATACATACCATATACTCTACTAGACCATTTGAACATAGATTGAATGGTGATCATGTGGTATTGGTGACTTTCTATTCAGTACATATGGTCTTGAAGCATTTTGCTAATGCATTGTGCTCCGTTGTCTGACACTATCTTTTCTGGTATACTTACTGAATAAACTGCAAGCAGCCCTAATCATGACAGTGATTGTCATGCTTGTTGTGTTGCTATGTCATCAAGTGGGAAATTTAGAGAAATAATCCATCATGAAGGTTTAATCTTCCCCATGCACTGTGATTAGGTTTATTACTACTTTTTTCCAAGGAGTGGATAGAACATTGTGTGGATGGAAAGGGTCCGTCTACTGCTGGAATTGTTTGGTTTGGCATGCCTCACAAGCATTAACAGTGCTGAATATCCTTAGACATCCTGGGCCAGTACGGATTCACGTTTGACATCTTGTGTGTTCGATATCCATCTCCCTGGTGTAATATGAACATGATATATTAGTTTAACACTTTCAGTATTAAGGCTTATTTCCCCTTGAAAATAACTTGTCATCATATAACAACATACATCTCTGTAAAATCAAAATGAGCAAAATCTTCTCTGGTATTTCTTTAATACTGTCAGGCCAGCTCTGGATAATGTTCTTCCATGGAGAGACTGGGTGTGTTAATTCTGCAAAACCCCTCCTTTCATTGGCATGTAAGATTTTTAGAGTTCTTTTCTTTGTATTATCTATCATTTGATCTGTAAAATACAACTGCATATTTGTTTGAACAATTGCAATTCAGTAAGGATGTCACTGAATGCTGCCCCATTCATAATCAGGTCTCTGGAATCCATGATTCTACTTTAAAAATATTGTATTGGATCACCTTAAGTTGCATGTCCCGGATGTTATGTCAGTATAAATTTTAAACTGTTCCTTTTTTGAGAACATAGGCTCTGCAGCTGGTATTATGAGAACTCAGTTACTTACACATCAACTATTGGGAGTAGAGAGTTGTTTGTGATTTCTGTACACTGGATTTGTTTCCAGCTCAAAAATTTACTGCAGCCATTTAGTTCTTTTTCTGTTTTTTTTAATCTAAGGTAGTCTTTGAAATGTTTTTTGCCTTGAAGTATCTGTTTACATCCCTCTGTCATCCTTCCTACTTATCTTCCCACCTACTTTTGTATCATCAGTAAACTTGGTGATAGCATATTCACTTCTCTCATTCAAATCCTGAATATATAATGTCAATAATTGTGGTCCCAGCACTAATCCCATAGCATTCCGTGATTATCCCTTTTATCCCAATTCTCTGTCTCCATTAGGTAGCTAATCCACTATCCATGCCTATATACTGCCCTCTATCACAATGGGCTCTCCTCTTATGAAGTTGACTTATGTACGGTTGCTTGACAAATTTTTTTTTTTGGCAATTGAATTATGTGACATCGACTGAATCCCCTTTATCTGTTCTGTTTGTTATCTCCTTGAAGAACTGAAATAAATTGGCCAGATATGACTTACACTTCATGAAGCTATGCTGGCTCTGTTTACTCATTTTATGTACTTCTAACTAGTGAGTTATTAAATCCTTTGCAGTAGACACTAACATTTTCCCATTGACAGATGTTAAGTTAACTGGCCCTTAATTAACAGTTTTTTTTTTTGCTTCCATCCATTTTTGAATAAGAATGTTACATTGGTAGCTTTTCAATCCTCTGGAACTTTTCCAGAATCTAAGGACTTTTGGATGATTCCTAACAGTGTATCCGCTGTCTATATATATACTCCTTTAAAATCCTAGGATGCAGTTCCTCAGGTCCAGGGGACATATTGGCCTCTAGGTTCATTAGTTTCTGCAGTAGATTTTCTCTAGTGACAGTTATTGCATTTATTTTTTGACTCCTCTGCTACTATCTAATTCTGTATTATTATTTCCCAGCCTTGTTCTCCAAGGGGGCTGTGTCCGCTTTGGCTTCTCATACAGCTGTACAGCTGGTGTTTAATTCTGTTGTTTGGTTGGGTTTCTTTTAGTTTCCCAAATATCTCCCATCACTTTATTGTGTTTTTTTTTGACATACTCATTACTGCTAGCATGGTGTGAGACTATCTCCAACAGTGTGTTTTACCTGGTGGTGGCAACGCTTATGTTATCTCCTGTAACATAAGAAACTAT